ACCTATCTATCTATCTATCTATCTATCTATCTATCTATCTATCTATCTATCTATCTATCTATCTATCTATCTAAAATCTGTACTCCATAAAATGCTAACTTATGGAATATAATGTATCTCTACTTAGCAGGGTGAGCAATGGAAAAGGAATGGAGTAGTTTGTGGAAAGTCATTTCAGGCCATCTTGCAAGAACATTCTATTTCGCAATTGCTTAACTGAAAGTTCTACTTACAGTAAATAAATAACCACCGCCAGGTTTTTTTAAATTATTATTATTGTTTTACCCCCTTGGCATGTATGTTTTGTTATCATAGCTGAAAAGATGTATTTATTCTTGAAGGGTAACGGATTTCCATTTTTAGGGGGGGGAAAACATAAGAAAAAAAAAAGTTTCTTAATGTTACCATCTCAATGCTTCTTTCCCTCCAACTCCTGCAACTTTCTCTCCAGAGCCTGTGAACATTGCTGGCATTGTGGGAACCATAGTAGTCCTTTTATTGTTGGGAATTCTGGTCTTTTCTGGAATCCTTCTATATGCTGGACCTCACGTGTGCTTCAAAGGTGAGAGAGTCTTTCCAGAAGGTTGTTCATGAGAGATCCTGCTGCCGAAGTTCTAGATCAAGTGCAGTGATCCACCAACCAAACATGGGGCTTTTTCGGGAACAATGCCAAAAACCCCTGTTGAAAAGCAAGAGGGGAATCTCTTTAAACCCATTTTATCAGCACGTCAGCAATAGCCGTGTCCTTCTTTCCAGCAACGGTTCTGCAGAGAATCATAGGCAATTTAAATTGCATTGCCAATTTCTCTCTCTCTCACACACACATACAAACAGGGATTGTGGCAGAAACATGAACGTGCAGCTTCTGAAAAGTCAGTAGAAAAATAAGGTCTCTTGCTTGCTTGCCCACGAGAAAGAATCCAACAGCCACAGTTTTAACGGAAAGAAATCCAAAATGTTGCAGAGACCTTGGAAAATGCCCTGTTCTCAGCAGATGATGGGAGAATATTTGTAAAAGAGAGCCTTTGTGCAAGATCCCTTTGGCTGGTCTTGGAGCATTTTGGAAAGTAGCCGGGAGAAAGGATCCCACAGAATAGATGGTTTAGCTGTCTTGATCCATCATTCCCAGCCGGTTTTAAGGCTTTAAAGTTAGGAGATCTGCAGGGCCAGATTGATGAGCGCAGAATTGCCACATTGGGCAAAAGCTGTGCCCATTTTCTATCAGTGACATGGCCTCCCACCCAGGCCCCAAGTAGGTGGAGCGTGCCTTGTCATGCTGCTTTTGTCTCTACAACAAAAGCAGCAAGATCCTGTGGATGATGCCAGTCCTTTGAATTGGGTGCTGGAACTCAACTGACACACAGTGAAATCCTTTTGCACAGTCCTGTGCCCCACGGCGATCAGAACCGATTGATATTTCTAACCATCTTCAAGGGCACTCCTGTGTTGCCCTTAGAGTAATCTATCCATTTGGGTTTCAAAATGTGGGTTCCTTCAATTATGCTTTAGGCAATCCTATAGCAACTTTGAAAAAGAATATATTCTTTTGAATATTTTGGAACACCCTTCCAACAGCTGACTTTGGACATTGCATGAAAGGCTTACTGTATAATCTTGGAAAGCAAATGTCTAGCTTTGTAATAAAAGTGTTTTTCTCCTTTTCTTTCTTTCATATTTCTAGGGAACATGCTTCGGTGAGTGTCTTTATTTCTTAACTAGAAAGTCTCAACCAGTTTCATCTACGGAAGCCATCACTTAGAGCAGGGATCCTCAAACTTCGTGGTACTCTGACCCTCTCCTACAATGATATAGTAGATGAATTTGTGTAAAGCCCCACCCAATGAATAAAACTAACAATTTCATTGGAGTTAGGGCTGGGCAAGAAAGAAATATGCCACTTTTTTTAAGCTGTTTTTTAGACAGTCCTCAAAAGTTGTAGTACTCCAACAACACCCTGCAAATATACTTGATAACATCTCCCATGATTTCCAGCTGGGGGTCAGAATGTGACCTATCTGCCAAGAGTCAGGCTGGGTAACATTGCTAGAGGTCAAAGTGTTCATTTATTGAAAATCACCTGGCAGGGATGGTCCCTCAAACAAGGAGGAGAAGAAAAGGTCCCTTTGCTCCTTGCTTGTAGTCAGTGTTGTCTTAATTGCAGGAATCGAGATGCCAGTGACATCCTTGAACTAGTGGACTCAGAAGAAGAGGATCTGTACATGGAGACCACCAGAGAGCCAACTTTGCATCAGATGGAAGGGATGGGGAATGGATGTTCTACCAGATCTACTGAAAGTAAGCTGAGTGAAGTTGGGGAACTCAAGTTCATGCAGGAATTATTCTGTCTCATTTTGCTCCTGTAGTCTCAAGGGCGGTCCCAAAAGGGAGTGACTTTTTTACACTTTTTTTCTCATCAACACATTTCTTAGGACTTTTTCAAGCAGAGAGAAATGTGTCAGAGCTCTTGACCCATCAAAGGAGAACTAGACTTCAGTGTGAGTGTCGGTTTGAGGAGGGTATATTAGCAGTAGATCTCGTAAAATACAGTTAAAGTGATTCCTCCTCCAAGCCTTATTTGGAGCACTATAATTTTTGAGAGATTACCTTTGTTTAAAAAGCAAACAAACAAAACTGGACAAAATCTTCATTGTCTCCAAGGATGTCTGCAGGTTATGGCAAAAATGGCAAGATGGCAACTGTGATGGTATAGGCAAAGTTCTGCTTGGTTTCTAGGTTGGATACATATAAAACCAGATTGAAGATAAAAATCTTCAATTGCACCATTGTGGCTGGCATTTTTACTTCCTTCACCACGCCCTTCTTTCATTCTATCAGTTACAGAGGCGCAACCTATGGACCCATAAACTTTGGGCGTAGTTCCCACAGACTTCCCAAAGTGATTAATAAATTGTAATTTCTCATGTAGCAAAAGGAAGAGCTCATTAAGCATGAAACGGGGGAGCAATTCTATTAGCTGTGTTTCATCTGCATTACGTTTTTATGTAAAGGATGTAAACATAAACTTAGTTTTGGTCCTGGCTCAGCTGCTACTTTTTGGAGCCCTTCCCTCCAAGCACCCCACTGGAAAACTAAATATGGTTCCCCCCCACCCAAAGAAGAAAATAGGGCATTCCTGCTTTAAATGGAAATTAGCATGATGTAAAGGTCTGTGGGGAAGACCCTGGGAGAATGGGCCCAGAGACACTTCCTAGGGAATGGTCAGATAAGAGGCAGCATAGCCCACAGATGGAGAATGGGTGAGGCAAGAGGCTCAGAAGGGATCCTCCCGAGTTTCTTGGGCTGTAAAAGAGACGGGGGAGATTTGTACTTTCAGATTTGCAAGATTCTGTTAATGTAGCTTTACAATAAAGTAGAATTAGCTCATCTGGATGTGATTCCTGTCTGGTTTAACCTGTGAGGCCGACATCAATCTTGCAAGTCTGAAAATACATCTCTCCCCCCATCCCCTTTATAGCCCAAAAACTAAGGAAAGTCTCTTTTGAGCCTCTTTCTATTTCTATTATGCAGCTGTGGGCTATGCTGCCTCTTATCTGACCATTCCCTGGGCAGCTTTCTATGGGCCCATTCTCCCAAGCTCTTTCCCACAGACCATTATGCATGACACCAATTCAAATGGCAGTTCTAATATGGAAGGGAGGAAGGGAGGTAGCTTGGTGCAGCTGCTGATCATACCCCAGCTGTCGTTTTTAATTGGTGTGCATTTTTTTTAGGCTCCTTTCCAGAAGTGTCCATCTCCCTGGAGGAAACCCAAATGTCCAAACCCACAGCGTAGAGGATTATCCCTTTCTTTGCCTTATGCACGAAGATCAAAAGCAGCCTTGCAGAGCAGCTGGAACTGGACTCAAACAAGGAAAGACAATTGTTTTCAGCAGCTGAAGGATTCCTGCACCATTGGGCACCACCTGGGCTTCTCTTTCGGCCTCTTGTTGTATTCCTCCCTGTGCTGCTACTTTGCTGAGCTTCCTCCCCTGCGGAGTTTGAAACAACCTTTGCGAAGCAGGCAAGGATAGGCATGGGATGACTTTTTCAGAGCTAGAAGAAGAAGCATTCATGCGATGTCTGGGAGAACTTTCTGTGGACAAGAAGCATTGTGGCCTTGCAGAAGGGCTGGAGAAACAGGGAGAGGTTTCCCAGCTGGTCCTGGGTCCCAGGTTCCCAGCTGAGATCCTCTTTGGATCTGACAACAAGATGGGTCAAAGCTTGTAGTGCATTTTCAGGGAAGGGAAGTGTCACAACGGCTCCTGTTGGGGGGGAAAAAAAACTGGACAGGGAAGCATCAGCTTGCATAGTTACGGATTCCTTGAGGCAGCTAAGAATGCTTTGTGTCCTCTAGGGCTTGAATGTAGGAAGTTACTGAGAAAGATCATGGTCCATTCTTGTCCTATGTTGCTTAAAATGAGAGGCAGACATTTTGGGGGAGCTTCAGGCAGGAGTCTCTCTCAGCTCTACCTGGGTACTGAACTTGGGAGCTTCTTCACGCAAAGCAGATGTGGCATCCCTAAGCTGCATGCCTCTGCTTGCTCATTTCTGGGATCCTCAGCAGTCTGCGAATCGTAGGAGCCACTGCATCTGCCGTCTGCCAAGGTACATGGCCAGTCTGAGCTGTGCTAGAATAATGCATAAAAATGGGTCCTTTGACAAAAGCTGGAAAGAACTGGGTGTGAATTGTCTGGATACTTGACAAACGTGGACTCTCTTTGGGGCTCTCACGATTATGATCCTTGCATGGCC